CATAATAGAGAGTACTTAAAATAAACTCTTAAAAACTTTAGGGTATTAAGTGATATCATTTATAAACTTTGGAGGCATTTATATACAATGTTGTTATGTTTGGTAAACAAAAAGGTACTAATGTAATATTTTGAAACTTTGAATATTTATCTACAAAAATTAAAGGGAAAATGTATTTAGGCCCCCAAAAAATAAAGGGGATGTAGCCCAGCCCCCCATAGTTTTTTTCTTCTGTTTCAGCCCCCCCAAATGTATGTGTTCTGCCTCCCTTTCACACTCTCCCAGGAAAAAACTTTCTGAAATTACCCTTCCCCTTTTCTTCTTCTTCTTCTCCTCCTCCTCCTCTCCCCTCTCTCTTCTCTCATCCTCTCCCGTAACTGCTCATCTCCCCTCTCTCTTCTCTCCTCCTCTTCTTCTTCTCCAGACCCTGGCCCACACCCCCACCCCTCCTCCCTCCCCCCCTTCCCACGGGCCCTTCCTCGACCTCCTTCGCCGTTCTCCGCTTCAAGGTCTTTGACTGGGCCGGCCACCAGAGCTCTCACCCCTACCATCGCATCTGCTCTGAGTTTAAACCTCTCTCTCTTACAGATCCGCAAGGGACTTTGAATGAGGTTCTCTCTCTTTTTTCTTCTTCTTCTTCTTCTTCTTCTTGGTTCTTGATTTCGAATTGAAAGGGAAATGGCATCTTGCATGATGGAATTAAGCAAAATTTGAGACTAATGAAAACATTTATGTTATTTGTGGTAAGGGTGAGGCTTCCAACACATGCTGTTCACTTGAATGGTCCTCTCGTGCTACATTATCAGTTTCTTCCTAATATTTATGCTTTTTATTGGGGTTACTAATGTCAGGTACCTAGGTCAATTTATTACGACTCTTGTTTTGCTCATCATTTGGCCAACAAATGGTTTTGGATGTTGGAACTGGTTGAGCGAATGCATGAATTTTATCAGATCGATTAGAAGGAACTTGATAGTTTCATCTAAAGAGAAGGATGACGAGGATTGTGAATATGAGATGATTTGGGATGCAAAGGGATATTGGCTCGATCTGGGAAGACCTTCATTGGTCTTTGAAGCCCAAACTAATGGGGATTGCTTGCACACAAGGTGTTTGATATAATGCCTCGGTGAGAAGAAATAGTTTTATTGGAGAGAATGACTCAATCTCAGACGTGGGTTTTATTGGAGAGAATGACTCAATCTCAGACGTGGGTTATAATTTTTATGGTTGTGGAATATCGAATCATCCTCTAGTGACTACTACTCAATTCTAAGATTGTTGTACTGATGATCCTTATGTTGCATCCAGAATTGTTTGTAACGTGTCATGTTTTATTGTTTAGTTGATTATACTATGTGTTCTTGTGGTTTGGTTGTACTTAGGTCAAAATTTAATAAATTGTATTGTGTCTATTTAGTGATCAATTTTGGTGTAATTTATTATGATTGTGTGTGACATGTATTGTGACTGTCATGTGAATATGTACAACTTCATTCAAATAGAATTTGATGTGCATAATAAACTAAAGATTATATATAAATTATGTGTATCAAAATCTAAATATTATGGTACATAATATGTACATAATCTTGAGGTTATTATGTACATAATATATACAAATCATGTACATAATCTTCAGGTTACGATACACTATTAAATCTCATTATATGTTTACTTTTTTCATAAATTATGTTAACTTTCATCATTATATGTTAACTCTCCTCGTAACATGTTAATTTTCAGCTGAACATGTTAACGTTCATCATAATATGTTAACTTTCACTGTTACATGTTAACTTTCATAATAACATGTTAACTTTCTTCATAAATCATGTTAACTTTCAGCATAATATGTTAACTTTCATTGTTACATGTTAACTTTCATAATAACATGTTAACTTTCTTCATAAATCATGTTAACTTTTATCATTATATGTTAACTCTCCTCGTAACATGTTAACTTTCCGCTGAACATGTTAACTTTCAGCATAATATGTTAACTTTCACTGTTACATGTTAACCTTCTTCATAAATCATGTTAACTTTCTTCGTAACATATTTTTTTGAACTAAAATTCGATGTGTTTGAAAGACTAAAAGTTCTAAATGAAATGTTAACATGTGAAAAATCAGAAAGTTCTAAGATTGTAAGTCTAATCATGTCGTGATTATCATTTTATTCTGAAATATGCTCCAGCGTACAAATTAAAATTAAAATTTAAGTTAAAAATATTGCCTTTAACCTGAACATGTTAACTTTCACGTGAGCGTGTTAACTCTCATCTGTATATGTTATCTTTCAGGTGTATATGTTAACGTTTAAGTTTATATGCTAATTTTCATAATAATATGTTAATTTTCTTCATAACATGTTAACTATCAGCTGAACATGTCAATTTTCATCATAATATGTTAACATTCACTATTACATGTTAACTTTTACCATAATATGTTAACTTTTAACTGAACATGTTAACGTTCATCATAACATGTTAACTTTCAACTGAACATGTTAACGTTCATAATAAAATTTTTACATTCTTACATCTGATATTGCTTAAATAAATGATATGATTAGACTTACAATCTTAGATATTATAAAAATATAATACAATGTGCTACAAAAGTCTTGATAACGATATGATTAGACTTACAATCTTAGATATTATAAAAATATAATACAATGTGCTACAAAAGTCTTGATAACCTACATTGCTCTACCAAAAGTATTGATATTATAAAAATATAATACAATGTGCTACAAAAGTCTTGATAACCTACATTGCTCTACCAAAAGTATTGTACTAATAAGCAATCCACACCAATCACCAATTACATTCATAACTTTTTTTAAACGTTTCTACTAAAATAAAGCAGTGAAAGTTAACAGGTTTGGATGAAAGTTAACATAAAGCAGCGAAAGTTAACATTCAATATGAAAAGTTACAATACTAGGATGAAAGTTAACACGTCCTGTTAAAAGTCAACATATAACTATTATAGTTAACATTTTCCTCTTTCTTTCTCTTGTTTTTATTTTCCCTTTCATTTTTCTGCTAGTTTTTATGCCAAAGATATACAAGAACTCAATAATCTTAACATGTAACTATTATAGCTTTAATATAATATATTATGATGAAAGTTAACATGTAATAGTGAATGTTTAACATATTATGATAAAAAGTTAACATGTTCAGCTGAAAGATAACATGTTATAATGAACGTTAACATATTTAGTTGAAAGCTAACATGTTATGAGTACATGCTTCATGCAAACCAACACTAGGTTTTGTCAAATTTCAACTTGAAAGGGCCATTTGGACTAGCAACACAGGGATGACCCATTATTATTTGAAATAATGCAATTAGTGCCACAATCCATTAACTAAAATATGTGGCAATGAATTTATTTAATTTCTAATGTCAAGGAGACCATGAAACGAGAAATCAATAAGAAACAAACACCCTCATTTATTAAATTTGAGTTTAGAAGCACCATTTGGACTAATACCACCTATGTCATCAATGTAACAAATAAACAATGTTTTTCCACCTCCTCATATGTGACCAACACATATACACTAGCAAATAATAATTGTAACAAATAAACAATGTTTTTCCACCTCCTCATATGTGACCAACACATATACACTAGCAAATAATAATAGTCAAACGGAACATATACTATGTGACCAACACATATACACTAGCAAATAATAATAGTCAAACGGAACATATACATAAATTCTAGGACGGTATGAAAACAGATTCCCCAATTTTAAGCATCTCTTGAATCAATTTCAGACACAACAGACATATCCTCTTCTTCCTTCAATGAATGTATCATCTCGACAACTTGGCTCATAGTTGGTCGAGCATCGGCAAATTTGTATATGCACTTCAATGCAATGTGAAGCAGCTTCACCATTCTATCTTCAGGTACTCCTTCGGAGAGCATTCCCTTATCAAAAATTTTAATTGTCCATTCCTCTCTCATCACAGAATTCACCCACTAAGCCAAATCAAAATCATTATTCTGAACAACTAATCATCTCTGGATTTTCACATGCATAGTTTTTTTCATCAATCTCAAATTTTACTTAATTCCATCAAGTTATAACCCACGTCTGAGATTGAGCCATTCTCTCCAATAAAACCATTTCTTCTCACCAAGGCATTATATCAAACACCTTGTGTGCAAGAAATCTCACCAGACATCTGGTTGCAAGAAATCAAGACAAAAAAAAGATCCGCATCAAATCTTCAACACGTTGACATAATTCAACATCAAAACATCCAATTTAATCACAAAACGAACATGGAAGCCTAAAATCCAATACAATGAACCTAAAAACTCAATCAAATTCAAAAACTCTAACTCAAGCTCAATTAATAAAGATCGTACCTCATACGAATCAAAGTGATCCCGCTTAATCATATTCCCTAGCATCGTGAACATTGACTGAGTGAGAAAAACCGCAACCACTTGCCTCAGATTGAGCGCCATTTCCCTTTCAATTCGAAATCAAGAACCAAGAAGAAGAAGACAAAGAAGAAGAGAGAGAACCTCCTTCAAAGTCCCTTGCGGATCTGAAAGAGGGAGAGGTTTCAGAGCAGATGCGGCGGTAGGAGTGAGAGCGCTGGTGGCCGGCCCAGTCGAAGACCTTGAGGCGGAGAAGGTCGGGGACGAGGCCTGGGGAGGGGGAGAAGGGAGGAAGGGTGGAGGGTGCGAGTCAGGGTCTGGAGAAGAAGAAGAGGAGAGAAGAGAGATGGGAGAGGAGGAGGAGGATGAGGAGGAGGAGGGGAAAAGGGGATGAAGTAATTTTGAAAAGTTGTTCATGTGAGAGTGTGAGGGAACTGAAACACAAGAGATAAACTATGAGGGGCTGGACCATATCCCCTTTATTTTTAAGGGGCATAAACACATTTTCCCCCAAATTAAATACCTTGAGACATTTTTTTTGTTCAGTTTGGAAAAAAGGAAGTAACTTAAATTCGGGCATTTGAGTGCAATTTAGCCTTTTAAATTAAACGTTGCTCCTCAATTCTTACTATTTCCAAAACCTCAGGGTCTCTTCGTCGTCGGCGACCCTTTGCCGCCAAACCCTCTCCGCCCTTTTCAATAAAAAAAAAAAAAAACTCTATAAAACCCCATTCTAGGGTTTTGAATTTCTTTCCCAATTGCAAAACCAAAACCCTAGATCGAAGATGCTCGTCCCTTTACCTCGCCTCACGAGCTCTCTCAGGCCCCACTACGACGTCGATCAAGCGTACCTCCATCGCAAATCTATCCTCCAATCTCTCAAACCAAAGAGGTATCTGGAACCCTTCAATCGTTCATAATTTATTTTCTGAAAGCTGAATAATTCAAATTTTAGTTAATTTTTTTTTTCTGCGTATTGTAGATTGAATAATGAATCGGAGCTCGCTCGGAAACTTGTCGATCGATGGGATGAAGGTATGTCTTTGATTCCGAAGGTTTAGGAGATGATAAATTGCAGAAAGCCCCTTGAATTGGTGTTTATTTCAAGATTAATTTTTTTCTTGGGAATTTTTTTAGTGGTTACATTCTTCCGGTAGTTAAATTCTAACATGTAGTAAACTTGGACTATTTGACTTCAATCTGCAGAAACTTCCGTTGACATATTCACCCTTGCGTAGGAAGTGTTTTTACAAACTATCTTATAATCGACCGAAGATATAATGAATTCCATGACAAAACCAACTTTTGACGCAAACAGTAGTACATAGAACTAAAACTAGAACAAAATTTTACAGTGTTAGTCAAGTAGAACTCTAATAAAACTAGAATTGAGATAATGGAACAAAATTATGCCTTTTTTTTATTTTTCTATACAAAAATAAGAGTTCTAGTCTCTCAAATTATTCCAAGTTTTAGCTTAGAACTAGGTGGTAAAAAACTAGAACTCATATTTATTTTGTTATTTTTTATTTTTTATTTTTTATATTTCTTTTTTTCTTTACTTCTTTCCTATTATGGTTATCACCATCATTAGACCATAATTATAATAATAATTGTCAATATCTTATAGTCTAATCAAAAGTTATTTAATAGTAAATAACATTCTTGTAAGCAATTATCAATCAATAATAGTAAGTTTAAAATACATATATAGTATTTATATCTTCAAAATGCATAAATATATATTTTATGATTATAAAAATTTATCCCACGTTATTTTATCAAAATATCCCGCTTCACAAAATTGTTCCTATTTATCCCACTAAAATATCCCACTAGCGAAAAATTATTCCACTTTAACAATTATCCCATTTTGTATGAAAATATCCCAATTGTGGTTAAGGTTATTTATTGTTCCTAAATACGCTGAGGGAGAACAACCATAAAGATCAAGGTTCCAAACTATCAAGATGTTAAAATTATAAATCCGACCATATGACCATAAGCATTTGATGCATGATGATCAAAGTTTCTAGAATAGAATAAAGAAGAGAGCTCTGGACTTTAGAAAATCAACACATCTTAACCTGTGACACACCAAACAAGCTGCTGCATGCAAACAGCGTGGGTCCCTCAAGAAGGTTGATCAATAAGTATACGATATTTCACACTACGTAGCAGAGTCTCAGAGCATTCCAACAAGCTTTACACAACTTAATTAGAGTTAAAACTGGGGTCTCACCCTTAGTCAAAATATACATGCCTAAGATCCACACTTAAATAATATGAAGGTTCCTAAAAGAAAACAACACTTTCACATTTTCAAATCTCAAAATTTGTCAAAGCTTTTCCTTGTACTTAGTTGTCCATGCAATAGGTTGCAGCCACACAAGTTAGTGGGCCAAAGCCAACAACTGGCTTAAAATAATGACTGGGTTATCATAAAATCCCAATGAGGTTTGGTTGTAAGTCTGAACTTTCTAGCAACACTAATCGATAGTTCCTATTAGAGGAAACTACCCAACTAATCATATTGGGAACTTTTACTTGACTTCATATAGTAACTTAGAAACACACGTGCAACATAGTAGAATTAGGTACGAGGAAGAATCAGACATTGTATGGCTAGGAGATACAAGAAAAAAAATTATTTACTTTGTACTAAAACTTGAAAACAATTGGATTGGAGCAGTTAAAAGGGCATGGTAGTTGCTAATTGAACAAAAGACAAATTCTCTAAATATCTAATTTTTAAATTTAATTAAAAGAAACAACCAACTTTATGGTCATATGTAAAACCAAAATTTAGCCACGCTAGTAGTTTAGACACCCTGCTGGTAATTCATGTTCCAGATAAGCTAGGATTTGGTGGTATGTAGTATGTTGATTAAGCCAAATAGGATCAGGTGTTGCCAAATCTCCACATGCTTTATCATCCATGTGCAGGCCCCTCTAACATAATTCACACAGAATGCTTGGGGTCCATGCATGAGCTTTGCATCGTCATGGACTTGTGAGGGGCATGAGAATTTTTCTCATCTGGGATCAAGATTTAATAATTTATCTGCATCCTCTTGCATTTGGACTAAGCAATCTGGAGTTGGTGACCCTGAGTTTTGTTCTGATTTGATAAATGATGCCGAACTGACTAAAACTTGATTTTTTCTGTAGTTAAATGTAAAGTTTGTTGTTTTAATTAAATTTAAAACCTTGATTGTTGTCTTCTAACGAAAGTTATGACTTAACCACATCTGAATAGAGAAAAAGGATTTAGTAGCTGTGGAAATCCCTCTAACCAATATATCAAAACTCATTGTGATAAGGTTTGAGGATTATAGTTTTATATTCTAACATGCCTCCACATGTTGGACACCCTTTTTTATGGACTGAAACTTGGACTCACGTAGCGGTGACAATTTTTTTTTTTCAAATTCCCATTAGATTCATGTCCAACAAGATTCAAACTGGGGTTGGCTGTGATACCATGTGAAATTCCCAATATATCAAAACTCCAAAGTTATTATAAAGTTTGAGCAATATAGTTTTATATTCTAACAATTAGTTTGCTTAAAATTTTGGGATTTTGGACAAAAGTTCTCTCGTTTATTTCGGCTATCTTATTAAAATCTGGAACTTTATTATGTACCTTGTCTTCCTTAAAATAAATTTAGGCAGCTTGTCATTGTCAGTTAACAAGTTAACAATTTATTTTATTTCCTTTGCCTCCGTTTTTCCTTTTGTAATCCTTAATCCTTGAAGATTAGTTATTTTCATGCAACCCTCCCATTTTTGTATTTTTGGTGGTATAGCTTCAAAGGAGGTGCGTCAAGCGTATAAACAGTTTCTTGGAGCTGTGGTGGAGTTGATTGATGGTGAAGTGTACTCTGAAGAATTTCACGAAGTAGTGCAAACCATCTATCATCTGTATAGCAATCCTGACACAGACTCTGATACCTCAAAGATGCATACTGAGAAAAAGTAAATCGAATACTCTGAAATTGCATGTTTTTGAAATTATTCCTTTTTAACTTTGATCCTTGAATTTTGTTTGAGATAATTCAGGAGCAAGCATCTTTCCTTTTTTATGTATGGTTTTTTCGTAGTTACTTGTTTAAGGGATTATTTTCGGAATGCTTATAAACTTTATTTATATTTGTATCCATACTTTGATTAATTTTATCCATCTAGCAAAGGAAAATATTCATTAGTGTTTGTAGTTTTGTTTGGCCTATCTCACATCAAATGGGACTCAGAGGGAAACAGGTCTTCAAATTTAGACGATCTATAAAAGAGTTGATGTAGATGTTTTGTACAACTGACACCTGACACCAACCCTGTAGGAGTTGTCTCCAGGTTATTGGTGAAAGAAACTAGGAGAGAGTGATTTTTCACTGAACGTGGAAGGCAGTTGGTCTCTGTCTTACTTTTCAGTGCATATATCCTTATGCACTCAAGGAGAATGGCCTTTAACTTTTGTGATACTTGAAAAGAATCTTTTAAATAAGATGGCTAAGGTCACTATTTCAAGAGCCAAGGTATCTTTTCCAATGACGAGGTCACTCCCACCTATAGGGCATAGTATTACCCAAACACCAAATGGAACACAGTGCTATTTATTAGTTCTTACTTGTACTAGGCACTAAACTTTTTTCTTTCTGTTGTTTTTGCATCATGCTGCGATGTGTAACTCTCGAAGTAGGGAAAAAAAGTAAAACTCATGCATAAGTTAAATACAAGGCTTGAAAGAAGTGCAGTCGAATAGCTGTGATTCAATAAAGATCTTTCAAATCTTATCCACATTGAAGAGAAATTTACACTGTGAATACAGACCAAGTTGCTCTTGAAACTAATCTGAAACAAGTCCACATCATAATCTTAAATGTAATAAAAATTCATACCAATCTAATAAAAATTTGTGTGAATCTATTCAGCATGGTGGTAGCTTTCTGTATATACTCTTCTATTGCAGGAACAATCAGCACTTGTTTGTCATCGCCAGTCTGGCTTTGCACGCCTTACGTCTAGAAAGTTGGCACACTAATTGGTAGAGTATGATTTTCCCTTCTGACCAAAAGTCTCCTTTAATCATCTCAGTGTGGACTTCTATTAGATACCTTGAAAATAGAGGAGGTGATAGCAGAATAGGTCACTGTCACATTTTTTTCGTAGTTGGTATTGGTACAGATAACCAGATCTAATGTTTATTTGTATGTTTAAATATAGTATACTGTCTTTCATACGTACATTTTGCCTCTTCTCCTCTAAAGGAGCACATAGTTACACCATACATCTATAGTTATAATACTTATTCTCTTACATAGAATCAATTATAATAAAAGAATATGCAGCTTCGAGCTGTACATTTGATGTAGCATCATAATTTTGATTTCCTTTGAATTGAAGTTTTTTCTTGAATGTAATTGTAGGCATATAAAATTGCTTATAGGTCCCTTAGCTCAGCTCGGCACGAACCGACAAACCAACGAGGCGACGAAATCGACGAATCGCACGCAAGCAACGGAATACTCCATTCGCACGTGCGGGATCAAGCCAAGTGTTCGACAGATCAACGAGTCATCCAACCAAGAGCGACAATCGAACGAATCACGATCGAATCAAGATCGGTTTCGGACTCCAACTCAGAAGCGGATTTACTTGCTAAA